TGCTTGAGAAGGCCGACCTATTGCAGGACCCGTCGACGAGAGAGGCAAAGCAGTTTCGGCGAAGGTTCCGCGTATCCTACCCTTTCTTCCTGTCCCTTGTAGACGAAGTGAAGGCGGTGAAGTGGCCTGGGTTGACGACGGACGAATTCGAGCTTGGCGGGAGAGGCACCAGGCGCTGCTGCATCGCCGTGGAAATAAAGGTGAGCTAGCACGCGCTGCACCCTAGAGATGGGCGTGGGGATCTGCCTAATGTATGTTGTGGTGCTCTCCAGGACTATGTAGATGTAGATGAACAAACGAGCACGTACATTCCCCGCGCACGCCGTGGTGGCATCAATCACATGATCGGTGCACCTGCATCTCGGCACACCCTGGAAAGAGAGGAGAGAGCGCACGCAGTCCTCTCGGAGGGTTTGTGCCGGCGGTGAGGATTAGCTCTCATTGCGCACACGCTTCCACACCTACAAGCACCAGAAATTTCAAGCAGTCCTCTACTTGCGTGTGTGTATGGTGCTCCTATGGTATGGAGACTGCCCGCCTTAACTCTCGAAAGTCGTCCACGGAAGGATCGGCGTGCCTCATTAGCAAGCTGCTCTCCCGACAAACCACGCTGGAGTCTATCCCTTCCGAAACGCAAGCTTGATGTTGTTGCTACTCACCTTAGCCCTCTAGTCCAAAACATCGATGGGAGCCCGTGGTCATGAATGCTATTGCCAGTCTCGGACAGCAACTCTGCTACATACAGCAACTCTATCAGTCTTGCTCCTGAACTGGACGTGGAATATTTGAATATTTTCAACCGCCGCTAATTCATGCACTCCAAGGACACACCGTAGACTATACCTTGCACGTATGTATGCTTACGCTTGTTGTGATGACCNATCAGTGTTGCTCCTAAACTGGACGTGGAATATTTGAATATTTTCAACCACGCCGCTATTTCCATGCACTCCAAGGACACACCGTAGACTATACCTTGCACGTATGTATGTTGACGCTTGTGATGACGCAACATGAAGTCCGCACACGAATCGTGTCCCTGACCTCCGTTGTTTGGTGATTTTTTCGGTCAGGTTTTGGCAGTGCTGCGCATACTGGGCAGAGGAAACTATTTCGACGATGTCTCGGGGGTCACCGGCATGGGCGGGGCCACGGTGAACTAACTGTTCCACAAGTCCACGGAAAGATTCGCGCGTGAGTTTTTTCCGGTATGGGTGAGGATGCCGAACGAAGACGAGCTGAAGGAGATCATGAAAACCTACGACGAGGTTGGAATGACGGGCGCCATGGGATCGATGGATGGGACGCATCTTCAGTGGACGGTGTGTCCTTATTCGGAACGCTCGTCGCACGTTGGCAAGGAAGGCTACGCTACCCTCGTGTACAATGTTGCCGTCAGCCACGACATGCGTGTTTTGTCGTGTACGCGGGGCTTCCCCGGCGCCCAGAACGACAAGACCATCGTCAAGTTCGACAAGTTCGCGACGGAGGTTCGAAACGGCTGGTACAAGGACGTAGAGTACACTCTGAAGGGCGAGGACGGAGGGGACATCAAAGAGACAGGGCCATGGTTGATCGTGGACGGCGGATATCACAACGTGAGCGGACTCGTGTTCCACCGAATTTGTAGTGCGGATTGTCTTTATTTGCACCCGGCGCGCGCCAAGTTTGGTGTTCCGTTTACAAGCATTACGTAGCGTTTAGGAACACGAGACGAAACTACAGCGGGTCGCTACTGCTGTGTCTTCAAAACTACAGATGTTGGCCCTTGACGCTTCCCCAACGTGCTGCGCTACGGCACACGGGTTGCTATTGTTCAAGTTCGGATGTGTTTTATGTATATCACGATACGGCAGGTTT